CAGTAGCTACAGTTGAAGTCATATTTTTGGAAATGTAGTTCAGAGAAACAAAACGATTTATTAATCACAATAATATCTACCATTTATTGATCACTTACTCCATGATAACTACTGTACTCATCATTTCAAAAAAGCAGTTTGCATTATTTTTAACTTTTTTTTTTTTAGACAGAGACTTGCTGCATTGCCCAGGCTGGAGTACAGTGGTGCGGTCTCGGCTCACTGCAACCTTGGCCTCCTGGGTTCAAGCAATTCTCTGCCTCAGCCTCCCGAGTAGCTGGGATTACAGGTTCCCACCACCATGCTCAGCTAATTTTTTGTATTTTTCATAGAGACAGGCTTTCACTATATTGGCCAAGCTGGTCTTGAACTCCTGACATCGTGATCCACCCACCTCAGCCTTCCAAAGTGCTGGGATTGCAGATGTGAGCCACTGCACCTGGCCTATTTTTACCTTTTAAAGTTAAGGAAACTCAGTTTTGTGAGTACCTTCCCTGACAGTCACACTGCTAGAGAATGGCATAGCCAGAATTTGTATCAAGTTTTTCTGGCTTATAAGACTATCTACATAACTACTGAGCTATATAATAAATGGCAGGTTATAATAGTGCCCTCTTAGCCCCAAATGTCGAGCATCTAAATTTTTGCCTATCCTATTTCTTCCAGCCCACCTGCCCTAGTTTTAACTGCTTTTGGCTTTAAGTGAAGCATAGAGCAACGTTTTAGAAACACTTGAATAAATTAAAATAAAAATACTCATTTATTGCAGAATGAATTGTTGAGCTCCTCCTATGAGCCAGACAATGCCCTAGGTGGAGAATCTAAAGATGACAACGCCTGCCTTTTGGGTAGGTTAAGTCATAGTGGAAGAGGCAGAGCTGTAACTGTATTGCAATCTATGTTGTACCAGAGATAAGCACAGAATGCTGAGGAAGCACAACAGCAAAAGAAAGCAGGGATATGCAAACCGCCTTTTAAAGGATGAGTAGGAGTTTTCCAGGAAGAGAAGAATTATGCAGGGGGCAGGGAAAAAGCCAGCTCAATGTAAGTGGAATTGGGAAGGGAGTGGCATGCTTCATCCCATAATGGTGAAAAGTTCAGCAGGGCAGAGGAAAAAATACACGATTGTGGGCGAAGGGAAAAAGAGGTATGCTCGGAAAATAATCTCGGAAAGGGATTGAGGACAGATGGCTGCAGTCTTCTTAGAACACTCTGAGAAAGACTTGGATCTCTCCGGTGTTAACTAGGCAGAGGCCATCTAGGTAATGTTAAGCAGTGGAGGAGGGTGGTGGCAATATGGAGGAGGGTGTGTCCCCTCCAGCCTGCTCTAGTTCATTGCTGCCATGGAGGAATACAGGCCCAATGGTTGCTGATCTTTTGAATTCCTAAGACAAGCCAGAGACCTAAATGTTAATATAGAATTTCCAACTTTTAAATATCAGCAGGTAAATAAAAATTATTTTTAAAAAACTATGAGCCAAGCAAAACAGCTCAGCAGCTGGATTTGTGTTCATCCCAGAGGCAAGTGGCTTGCTCTGTCCCTGGAAGAAATGAGTAGCACAAGTTTGTATTAAAATTCCAAAGCCTTAGTAAAACCCAGAGGTCCTATCCACTAAATAATCGTTAGAAAGGTAAAGCCTATCAATTTACCTTCTTTCCACATTGTAGTTTTAAAGTATTCACCATAATTATTGAATAAACTAAATCTTCCCTGAGATTATTTTCACATATTCCACTAAAGTTCACTAATTGAATTTCCTATTTTCTTCTGTACTATTTAAAGAAACTAATCTTCAAGGTTAAAATAAGAAATAATCTATTTGTAAATGAGACACAAACTAACCCTTGGTTTGCTAAAATAATTAATTGGGAGCCCATTACACTGAGGCAGCTCTAGCACCCAGAGTTCCTATGTAAGCAAACTGAAATCTAACTCAGAGTAAGTGGTCATATCCTAGGAAGACCACATTTAAGCTTAACAAATCAGAGCCCACCAACTAATCTCCAACTAGAGACTTTAAGGCTGCTGTTCCACTTTAAGCAATCCAGATATTTTCTGTATTGCTTCCTCAAACACCTTATAAAAGTTTTCCCCTTGCACTCCCTTCAGGGGAGCCCAAATGGCTTGCAGTTTGGCACCGTCTGATTGATGAGTCACTGTTGCTCAAATAAACTTTAAAAATTTTTTATGTGCCTCTGCTTAACAGATACGTCAGGCAAATGAGAAGTTATCTTTTTTAAAAAAGCCTGTAAAACCTTTAACATCTACTTTAACAACTTGTATAAGTCCAAGAGAAATACTTACTGTAAGAAAAAAAAATCCTATCTGCAGCAGCTAGGAAAACGAATATTGAGAAACCCTATTATATTCTATTTGGTTGAGCCATACTCACTAAGAAGGAAGTGATAGTATCAGTTGATGTGGCTGAAGATTAATATGGTTCCTTTGGTGATTTTCCCTTATCACAGATATCCTGGGGACTCACTGCTGCTTAGCCACTCACATCAAATTTAGTTTCTCGAAATGGGTTTCTGAGGCATTCTCCTCAGGACTTAATCATAGCTGAGAAGCCACTTTAGAGGTGGAGGAGGAGAAAAATCTGCAACTTTCTGTTGTCCTGTATTCACACAATATGTGCTGTGTGCCTACTACAAACTGGAAACCATTCTCAGCTCTAAGATCAATCAATGACTGACAGGCAGAGTTGCTTACCAGGGAAAGACATATGTGTGAACTGATGTATGTGTCAGATGGTAATAAATGCACTGGAGAAAACGAAGCCTGGTGAAGGATCAGGGAGTGAATGGAGAGAGGGTCACTCGGGCAGTCAGGGAGGACACCTGTGAAAAAGTGCCAGGTGAGTACAAGTCGAATGCTTTAAGGCATCAGTGTCTGAGGGCAGAGAGTTCTAGGCAGAGGAAGTTTACAGATGCCCTCAGGTGGGAACACTTTGCTTCTTCAAAGGGTTGCAAAGAGTCCACTATGGCCAGAGGGTGGTGAGTAAGGATTAGTCAAGAAGGAAAGGGAAATTTAAAGAGGAGAGGTTGCCTCTTAGGCTTTTACTGGGAGATGGGAAGCCCCGAAGTGTTCTGTGCTGAAGAGCCAAGTGCTTTGACTCAGGATTTTCAAGAGCTACTGTGGCCTGCTGTGCAAGGTGGCATCAGGTAGACTGGTCAGGAGGTGCTATGGTTTGGATATGGTTTGTCTGGCCCCACCAAGTCTCATGTTTAAATCTGATCTCCACTGTTGGAGGCACCGCTTAAGGGGAGTTCTTTGGGTCATGAATGGTCCAATGCCCTCCTTGAAGTAATGAGTTCTCTTAGTCCCTGTGAGAACTGATTGTTAAAAAGAACCTGGCACCACCCCCCACTCTTTCCTTCCTCCTCTGTACCATGTGCTGCAGTCTCTCCTTCACTTTCCACCACGAGCAAAAGCAGCTTGAAGCCGTCACTAGAAGCATCTGCACTATGCTCCTTGTGCAGTGTGCAGAATTATAAGCCAAACACATCTCTTTTCTTTATAAATCATCCAGCCTCAGGTATTCCTTTATAGCAACACAAAGGGACTAAAACAGGAGGCAACTGTGGTCGTGAGCCAAGAGATTAGTCGCTTGGATCATGGTGGGAGACGAAGGTGGTAAAAAGTGGTCAGGTGTTTTCTACATTCTGACAAAATGCCCCGAAGTAATGAACTGTGGCGTGTGAAAGAGAGGAATTAAAGAGGATTCCAAGTCGTCAGCTGGAGCAATGGGAAGGAAAGTTGT